GTGCCCCCTTGCACGTACCCAAGGGGGAGCAGGGCCGGGGGCTGCCCTGGGGGCTGCTGCCTGGGGACAGCTGTGCCTTCTCCTGGCTGTTCTGCAGCCTCTTCCTTGCCTGGGGGAGAGATGGCAGCAGGTGACACGGGGAACTCTGTCCCTGTGTCCCCAGGGTGTCCCCAGGGCCACTCACCGGGTCAGATCCGTGCCTGGGGGCCTCATCGTCGGGGTCCTCAGCTTCTGTCTCACTGTAGCAGTCTGGAGACCATGGGAGAAGACAGAAATTCCCTCCCAGGGCTGAGAATCATCCCAGCCGCCCCTCAGGGAGCGTTGGTCGCCTTCCCAAATCCTGGGCCAAGCTCCCAGTGATGCTCCTACCCCATGGGGACCCCTGCTACCGACCCCTCCTCACCTTCCTCCTTGTCTGGCATTGCCTGCTGGGCCAGCGTGTGCTTTGTCTTGGCTGTCACCAGGTGACTGACCCACCTGGGGAGGGACAGAGGGACAGGAGGCTCCTGGCCAGCCCGGGCTGCTGGGGCCAGCGCTGGCCATGGGCTCTGTTACTCACATGCTCAGGTCAGCCAGGGTTTCAGCAGCGAACACAAAGGGTTTGTACGTCTGGTGGCACAGCTGGAACACGCTGGGGACAGGGGGGTGGCTGCTGGGCTGCTGTGGGGACACAGGGGAGCCCCCAGACCCCTGCAGCCCCCCAGCCCAGCCCTCAGCATCATCCCAGATAACCCCAGGAACACAGGGCAGGCCTTGCTCAGGGTGTGGGGACCAGTGCCAGCTCTGTGGGGCCATCACCAGCCCCACGAAAACCTCACCAGCCCCATGGAAACCCCAGTGGCCCTGTGGGGACCTCACCAGCCCCATGGAAACCCCACCAGCCCCACAGGGACACGCAGGTGGTTCCTAGCAGGACACATCAGCACGTGGCCTTGGCACGGCATCCCCCCCCTCTTCTGCCACCATCTGGGGGTGACAGTGACACAGACCCCACTCACTATTTCTTCTTCTGCTCCCTGGTGCTCTCCAGGTTGTAGGTGGCCACGT